TAACTTCCAGATGTTGCCATGGCATTTGTAAATTGCCATGGAGCTGGTCGAAGCTAATGCATTATAATTAGTGTATAATGAGTAGCAAGGACGACCAGAGGTCACTTTCCTCACCATCTTGGTTTTGGTGGACCTAGGCTTCCCAAAGTGTTTGGATTACATCTCCTTTTATCAGCAGGGTCTTTGTGACCTATATCTTGTGCTGACCTCCTATCTCATCCTTTAACTAAGAATGCCTAAACTCCTGGAATGCAGCCAGTAGGTCTCAGCCTTATTTTACCCAGCCTCTCTTCAAGATGGAGTTCCTCTGGTTCAAACAACTCTCACAATGTCACCTTTGTATTACTTTACTTGTCCAAATATCAATTTCATACATCTGTTTGGCAAAGGCTGGGTCACATAGGGAATCTACAAAGGGGAGAGGGGTAGAGTTGTATAGGCCCTATATGATATTTCTCTAGGCATCTAGTCAGCTGTAAGCTTCTTCACCAGAATGAAAGTTATTGGAAGCCAGGAATCTATTGTTTACCATTCAGGGGCCCCAGCACTTCACAAAATGTCCAACAAATAGTCGGGGTGTTGTGGGGTTGGAGAAGGAAAGAAGGAAGCAAGGAAGGAAAGAAGTTCAAGACTAGGTCAAGGCAGAATCTACTGGCAGAAAACAGGAAACTCAGTTTTGATGGTATTTAAAACCTAAAATGAAGAAGGGACGGACGCTAATAATTATTATTTCCTAGTAGTGTTTGCTTTTAGTCTATTTCTCTTCATTTCCATGCTGATGAACTTAATACAGTTGACATTCCTTAAGTCTGGAAAAAAATCAGTTGTCTCCTAACTGGTACCTTGCCCAATTTATCCCCAGTCTTTCCCATGCTAGTATATGCTACACACCAATCTCTGGACTAGGTTTCCTAAAACATGGTCTTCCAACTTTTTACTTGCAAACACTTCCAAAAGAATTTCTTAAAGCTTGTTTCCTCTTGCACATTTTTAAGCTGACATCTAAAATTCTTCATTCCATGTTAAAATAGTTGCAAAGGATGTAACTTCCAATGTTCTGTAAATATTGTCATTTTAAAATAAAAATATTATAGCACTTTAAAAAATATATCTAATAGAATCTAAGTACCACATCATCCATTTTTTAAAAAATACATGAACAAGCTATTCTTTAATAATCAGAAATTTTGTATTTTTCCTTTTCCTCCTTGAACTCATATTTGTGTTCTGCTTCCACCAAAAAATTGTATCCTAATATGACATATTCCTAAAAGTCTTTTTATCAGTTATCTTAATTACTGCAATAAAAGTATATATGCTGAAATTACTTCCTGTGACCATGAAGTTATCTTTAAGAATTATTCTGGATTGAATTCAATTATTATTATAATACTATTGACAAAACAACATGAATATATTACAACTTCTAATAAGTAATGATTAAACAGAAAAAGTAAATTTTTAAAAATTATTATTTTTTTTTGAGACGAAATCTCCCTCTGTCGCCAGGCTGGAGTGCAGTGGCATGGCTCACTGAAACCTCCACCTTCCGGGTTCAAGTGATTCTCCTGCCTCAGCCTCCTGAGTAGCTGGAACTACAGGCATGTACCACCAAGCCCAGCTAATTTTTGTATTTTTAATAGAGACGTGGTTTCACCATGTTAGCTGGGCTGGTCTTGTACTCCTGACCTCGTAATCCAGCTGCCTCAGCCTTCCAAAGTACTGGGATTAAGGGCATGAGCCACCGAGTAAATTTTTATTTAAATCTATCTCTTAACTAGCTGGATGGAGCCTGGCTGGTTTTGCTAAAATTAGGTCAGGTATCATGGATAATTACTTACTGGGGCCAGATCTGATGGCTCACACCTGTAATCCCAGCACTTTGGGAGGCCGAGACTGGCAGATCACTTGAAGTAAGGAGTTTGAGACCAGCCTGACCAACATGGAGAAACCCCATCTCTACTCAAAATACAAAATTAGCCAGGCATGGTTTGTGCATGCCTGTAACCCCAGCTACTCGGGAGGCTGAGGAAGGAGAATTGCTCGAACCTGGGAGGCAGAGGTTGTGGTGAGCCGAGATTGCACCATCGCACTCCAGCCTGGGCAACAAGAACGAAACTCTGTCTCAAAAAAAAAAAAAAAAATTACTTATTGCTATATTGAGACATGGTTCAATCTGTTTCATTCCCCCTACCTTTTCCTGTTTTATTATTAATGTAAATGCTGAGAAAAGTTATTTGTATAAATAAATCAGTAGGAATAGAAACAATGCTCTCAATTCTTTGCACTCTGTCAGAATCATGTCAAAAATCTTGGGGCAATGTAACTTCAAAAATTATTTTTTAATGATCTATCAGGTGACAACTCAATTGCAGACCTTCCTACAAAGATCTATAGATTGCTTATTAATAGCAGACTAGGAAACCATCTAATTGCAAAAGAATTTGTTATGCATTTATTAATGTGACACCAAACATGGATGGAACTGGAAGCAATTATCCTAAGTGAAATAACTCAGAAACAGAAAGTTAAATATTCATGTTCTCAGTTACAAGTGCAAGCTAAATAGTGGGTACACATGGACATATGGTGTGGAAATAATAGACACTGGAGACTACAAAAGGTGGGAGGGTGGGCAGAGGATAAGGGTTATCACCTATTGGTAATAACCAATGGGTAAATGAGGTACCCATCACTTCAAGCTTTATCGTTTCTTTGTGTTGCAAACATTCCAATTACACTCTTTTAGTTATTTTTAAATGTACATTAAATTATGGTTGACTGTAGTCACCCTGTTGTGCTATCAAATACCAGATATTATTCACTCTATCTGACTGTATTTTGGTACTCATTAACCACCTCCATTTCCCCACCCCCTGCAACCCCTACTACCCTTCCCAGTCTCTGGTAACCATTATTCTACTCTCCATCTCCATGAGTTCAATTGTTTTAATTTTAAGCTCCCACAATTGAATGAGAACATGCAAAGTTTGTCTTTCTGTGCCTGGTTTATTTCACTTAACATAATGACCTCCAGTTCCATCCACGTTGTTGCAAATGACAGGATCTCAAGGAATCTACTTTTTAACAAGCACTCCAACTGATTCAGATGCAGGTGGTCCTTAGGTTCTGCCTAGGAAACATTCACCTAAAGGGGAAGCATCCTGGAAAATGTATAAGTTGAAATTTGCAGAGGTGATTTATAAAACGAAAAAATTAACAACTAGGTTGTGTTAATTAAGCTGGATTTGGGGCAAGGAGAACCACTACAAAGTGTATATGTATGAATTCAGTGTCGATTTAAACAGAAGCACAACCTTGCCTATGGTAATTATTCATCTCCAAGGGATCTCTGAGGTCCAAAGGTGAGCTCACCCTATGCTCTTGAGTCTGTGTGCTTTCAAGGGGAAAAAGAGGACCCACTGAGTCACCTTACATTCTTGTAACAAAACATTTTATAAACTGAAGGAGGGCTGAAGACATCACACTATATAAGCTACTTTACAGGCTAAACAATTTGAATTAAAGACAAACCTGATTTTAGCGAGATCTTTACTGTCTCAGAATGCCTGGAGTTCTTTAAAAAACAATTTTTTTTTTTAACAGGAGGAGTGGGGTGCTATAAAGAAAATGAATCAATATAAAGTGACACATTGTAACAGAGAAGAAAACATTTCTATGTTTACATTTGTTAGTATTTACAGTTTTGTTTTTTGAGGGGCAGTGGGATGGAGTCTCACTCTCTTGCCCAGGTTGGAGTGCGGTGGCGCCATCTTGGCTCACTGCAACCTCCACCTCCTGGGTTCAAGCAATTCTACTGCCTCAGCCTCCCAAGTAGTTGGGATTACAGGTGTGCATCAGCACGCCCAGCTAATTTTTGTATTTTAGTAGAGATGGGGTTTCACCATGTTGACCAGGCTGGTCTTGAACTCCTGACCTCAGGTCATCTGCCTGCCTTGGCCTCGAAAAGTGCTGAAATTACAGGGGTGAGCCACGATGCCTGGCCACATTTGGTAGTATTTATTCACTAGTGTTCGTAATAAAGTTGTGCTGTAAAATAAAAAACAGTAACAGGCTGAAATAAGAAGTGATACACTCTTTGGGAGTTAAAGAATTTCTGGTAAACATTAACTGATTAGATTTGTAGTATATGTTTAGTTGTCTACTTACCTTTAGAATTCCTAAAATATTATTTATCTACATATGAATATATATTAAAATTTTTTTACAGGAAAGGTATAAGGTCTTTATAAACCATTCAAATTCCCCTAACCTATGGAGGGGATAATAAACTGATTATTTTTTGTTTTGTTTTGTTTTTCAGAGATGGGGTCTTGCTGTGTTGCCCAGGCTAGAGTGCAGTGGCATGATCATGGTTCACTGCAGCCTCAACCTCTTGAGCTCAAGCAATCCTCTGGCCTTAGTCTCCTGAGTAGCTGGGACTACAGGCATGTGCCACTAAGTCTAGCTACTTTGAACATCTCACTAAGTTGCCCAGGCTGGTCTTGAACTTCTGGGCTCAAGTGATTCTTCCACCCAGGCCTTCCAAAGTGTTGGAATTACATGTATGAGCCACTGCATCCAGCCTAGGTGATTTCTTTTAAACTTTTTGTCGTTAAACATTTCAAACATATGTAAAAATATACTAATACGATGAAACTGCTCTGGTTTTTGATTATTTATTTCTTCTGACACTGGGGATTTTTTCTTTTTTTTTTTTTTTTCCAAATTCAGCTATGTATACATTTTTGTTTGTTATATTTTATCCAGCATTTCTAGCTATATGCTGGGAAGTCTAGCTATATATGTCTAATATTATTTTATCTGCACTCCCCCCATTGCCCTCTCCTCCCCTCACTGGATTATGTTAAAGCAAGTCTTACATCGTTTTATCTTTATTATTTTAGTACATATCTCCAAAAAGTGACTTTCTAGAAAACATAACCACAGCATCATTATCATACCTAAAAAATTAAAAACATGTGACTATATAGAAATACCTTAGAGCTGGCCAGCTGCAGTGGCTCACGCCTGTAATCCCAGCACTTTGCGAGGCCAAGGTGGGTGGATCACGAGGTCAGAAGATCGAGACCATCCTGGCCAACATGGTGAAACCCCATTTCTAAAAAAGAAAAAAAACCTTAGAGTTTGCACATCCAAAGGAGGAGGGTTCTCTTCAAAAGATCATCTTAAAAGGCTATAATTTCTCAAGGCATTTTTGGATACTTCTCAGGATTACTTTCAGGACTAGTAATATATTCTTTTAAGTATCCCAAATGGTGACAGATCTTCACTCTTCAAGGATAAATTTGACTTGAAAATAGCCAAAAGTCTTTAGGAATAAATCTTTATAAACGCTTGGAGAAATAAGACTGGTTTTGCTAGAACATAATATACACAGAGGCATAAGATGTGTCCATTTCATGGAAGGAGTCTGATGCTTGTAAACTAGCTCAGAAATTACCTACTGGATGACCAGAGATGTTAGGTGAGAGAAAGAGCCCTATTGCATCAGGAGCTGAGGCAGGAGTGGATCCTATGAGGAGAATGTGAGAGGCAGCTGAGAGCCAGCCAACTGGCAAGAGGGAGTTATGCTTAATCTTTATACCCTAAATTCCAGTGATTCCTGGCAACTTTCTGGGTTTATCTTGCATTTCAGACCTCCATACTTTTGCAAACAATGTTCCCTGTGATTGGAAAGCCTACTCCCACTGAATAAACCCACTGGATGAATCTCTAGTCATCCTTTAAGGTCTTGATCAAATATTACCACATTATTTGACTCTCTCTGGCAAAATTAGTTGTTCCATTTTTCTGGCCCAGTTGTACTTTGTAGATGTCTATTTTAACATCTCTGTGACTGTTTCATATTATTGAGATATGTATATATATCCCCAATAAGATTGGGAGTTTCATTTTTTAATCTTTGGCATATACACAGTGACTGGGACATAGTGGGCCTTCAGTAATCATTTTTTTATTACATAGATATGATTAATAATCTGTATATCTTTTTTTTTTTTTTGAGACAGTCTTGCTCTATTACCCAGGCTATAGTGCAGTGGCACGATTTCAGCTCACCGCATCCTCCACTGCCCAGGTTCAAATGATTCTCCTGCCTCAGCCTCCTAAGTAGCTGGGACTACAGGTGCGTGCCACCACGCACAGTTAATTTTTTTGTATTTTAGTAGAGATGGTCTCGATCACCTGACCTCATGATCAGCCTGCCTTAGCCTCCCAAAGTGCTGGGATTACAGGCGTGAGCCACTGCGCCTGGCCAATCTGTGTATCTTTATATGGGTTAGAACCTGAAATATCTTCATAACAAAGCAGCTGCGAGCTATAAACATTATAGAACAAAGCAAAGAAGAAATACCTTATGCAAGAGCAGTTTTTGCAACAGAATCCCTAGAAATTTCAGATCTTGACAGTGGAAAATTATAGCACAGAACTGCCCAAAGATATGTTGACAATTTCTTTCCCTCTCTTTTTAAAAATACATTTTCCATATCTATTTTTTTAGATCAGACTTATTTTATTTTTTTTGAGGGGTTAATGTTTGAAAAGGTATTGAATTAAGACTGGGCACAGTGGCTCACACCTGTAATCCCAGCACTTTGCAAGGCCAAGGTGGGCAGATCACAAGGTCAGTAGTTTGAGGCCAGTCTGGTCAACATGAAGAAACCCCATCTCTAATAAACATACAAAAATTAGCGGGAAACGGTGGTGGACATCTGTAATTCCAGCTACTCAGGAGGCTGAGGCAGGAGAATCGCTTGAACCAGGGAGGTAGAGGTTTCAGTGAGCTGAGATGGTGCCATTGCACTCTAGCCTGGATGACAAAAGTGAAAGTTCGCCTCAAAAAATAAAAATAAAGGCGGGGTGTGGTGGCTCACGCCTGTACTCCCAGCACTTTGGGAGGCCGAGGCGGGTGGATCATGAGGTCAAGAGATCGAGAGCATCCTGGCCAACATTGTGAAACCCTAACTCTACTAAAAAATACAAAAATTAGCTGGGCATGGTGGTGCACACCTGTAGTCCCAGCTACTTGGGAGGCTGAGGCAGGAGAATTGCTTGAACCAGGAGGCAGAGGTTGCAGTGAGCAGAGATTGCACCACTGCACTCCAGCCTAGCAACAGAACAAGACTCGGTATAAAAATAAAATTAATTAATTAATTAAAATAAATAAATAAAAATTTAAAAAGAAAGAAAAGTTAGTGAATTAAGCACAAATTGAAATTGAGTTTGAACTTAGTTGATGCACATTTTTCTCAAAATAGATTTAGAAGGCAGAACACGAAGCATAAAAATAAATCATCTACTTCAGAGGAAACAGATGACTATCAGTCATTGTGTAAAAACTACAGAAACTTGATACAGTTCAACCTAACACTTAATATGCCCTCCTGTCAGGACCATTCATATACTCCTCTTTCTGTCCCACCTTCTGCCCCAGATGAAAAACAACCTCATTCACTCCTAATCAAATGACCAACTTGGCCTTTGGCCTTAGTAGGAAGTAAAAGCATCTCTTCCAGCATTGTATCAGCAGTATGTGACACACCTACCAGACCTGCGGCATAGTCTTAGGATGAGGAAGAAGTTTGTGGGTAGCCCAGGTGGGTAGAAAGGAGATAGAGAGAGCCACCTGTAAAGAACAATTGCATCTGATGTCACCTGTTCTTGGCTGAACCTGAATTTTATCAAGACCATAAAGTCCTCTGAGCCCTAGCTGGCTCACAACATATTTTTCAAACTAGTTTGTTTTTCTTTAATCACTAAGTCCACAAAAATTTTTACAACCCTTCTTGTCTGGTGGTAAATATTATATTAAACCATGTTTGTATGGAAATAACCTAATTTGGACATAGAAGAAACAGAACTGAATTAGTTGAACAACAGGTTTGCTTGGTTCTCACGGTTGCATTGCACAACTTGGGCAAGGCATATCATGACTTAAAGATTTTTATAATTCTACCCGGAAATACAGCCAGACCACCTAGGTACTTACAAAAGCAGTTCAGCCTCCACAACATAGGAATGATTTCTCTGACTTCATGACACCTGGCCTCTTGGATTCCATGACCATTTCTCAACTGGAGAATATATTAAATAAATTAGCACTTGATTTTTGGTAGTTTTATAAAGAAAATTTATTGTTTTTTAAATAAAAACAGAGTCCAAAATCATAGCTTAAAAAGAATGCATGCACACAAAGTTGAGAACACAGAAATGATCCAACAAGTAACAGTACCATTTGTATTTTGTTTGAAAAAAGCATATTTTAATTATTATGTATAAAAAATTTCACATTCCTAATAGAATAAAAGTGAAACATTCAAGACCTCCTTCTACCTTTTTTTTCTCTTTGAGACAGGTTCTCTCACTCTGTCACACAGACTGGAGTGCAGTGGCATGATCACAGCTCACTGCAGCCCCACCTCCCAGGCTCAAGCAATCCTCTCACCTCAGCCTCCCAAGTAAGTAGCAGGAACTACAGTCAGGTCCCACCACATCCAACTAATTTTTAAATGTTTTTGAGATGGAATTTCATTCTCGTTGTCCAGGCTGGAGTGCAAAGGCACTGTCTCAGCTTACTGCAACTTCCTCCTCCAGAGTTCAAGTGATTCTCCTGCCTATGTCTTCCAAGTAGCTGGGATTTCAGGCACCCACCATCACATCCAGCTAATTTTTTTGTATTTTTAGAAGAGACAGTGTTTCACCATGTTGGCCAGGCTGCCCTTGAACTCCTGATCTCATGTGATCTGCCTGCCTCGGTCCCTCAAAGTCCTGGGATTACAAGCATGAGCCAGCATGCCCGGCCTGTGAAACCCCTTCTCTACTAAAAATACAAAAATTAGCTGAGAGTGGTGGCTCACCTCCATAGTCCCAGCTACTCAGGAGGCTGAGGCAGGAGAACCACCGGAACCAGAATCTCAGAGTGAGCCATCACGCCACTGCACTCCAGCCTGGGAGACAGTGAGACTCCATCTCAAACAAAACAAAACAAAACAAAAACAGAAAAGAAAGGAGTCAGGAAAGTAGCATATTTAAAAATGAGTCTAACATTGTTATATAGAAATAATATAAAATTTACTAATTGTGAGGTTATCCTTCCTTGGTTCTCAGTATTTGCTAGGGTTTAGTTGTAGCAATGTTTCTGCTTTGACTTTTCACATTTAAAAATATACACATTTCACAGAAATATAAGAAAAATAAAAGCTTATAGATACAGTACAAATTAATTGGAGATTCCAGGAAAAAGCAATGAAAATCTTTAAAGGACATATAATCAGACCTATAAGAACAAATTTTAAAAACTGAGCTTACTGTTCTACTCTGCATTTCAGAACTATTAGCAAGAACTGTAATAAAATAGAAAACTTTTCAGGTGAATCCATGCAAATATTATTTATATAATCAAAGATAATTTGCACTATAGTATCTAATACTAATATCTAATACCAATAATAGAATTTGCTTTATGAATATAATCTGCTAAACCCTTTATTATTACTTCTAAATGTATTTCCTTTGTTTTGTTCATCTTTCAAAATTTACTTTAGATTCAGGGGGTACATGTGCAGGTTGGTTCCTGGATATATTGCATGATGCTGAGGTTTGGGGTACAAATAATCCAATCACCCAGGAACCTCCACCTCCTGAGTTCAAGCAATTCTTCTGCCTCAGCCTCCTGAGTAGCTGGGACTACAGGCACATGCCAATGCCACCATGTCCGGCTATTTTTGTATTTTTACAAAATACAAAATTTCACCATATTGGCCAAGCTGGTCTCAAAGTCCTGACCTTGTGATCTGCCGGCCTCGGCCTCCCAAAGTGCTGGGATTGCAGTATGTGGTTTTCTATTCCTGCATTAATTTGCTTAGGATGATCTCCCGTTGCACTCATATTGCTGCAAAGGACATGATGTTGTTCTTTTTAATTGCACTGTAGTATTCCACAATGTATATGTACATTTTCTTTCTCCAATTCACCATGGATGAGCACCTAGAATGATTTCATGTCTTTGATATTGTGAATAGTGCTGTGATGAACAAGTGAGACACATTGTATAGAATGATTTGTTTTCTTTTGGATATATGACCAGTAAAGGAATTGCTGGGTTGAGTGTTAATTCACTTTTGAGTTCTTTGAGAATTCTACAAACTGCTTTCCCCAGTGGCTGAACTAATTTACATTCCCACCAAAAGTGTATAAGCATTGCCTTTTCTCCACAGCCTCACCAGCATCCGTTCTTTTTAACTTTTTAATAACAGTCATTCTGATTGGTGTGAGATGGTATCTCACTGTGGTTTTTGTGTGTGTCTGTGTATTTGAGATAGAGTTTCACTCTGTCACTCAGGCTGGAGTACAGTGGCACAGTCTTGGCTCACTGCAACCTCCTCCCCCCGAGTTCAAGCATTTCTCCTGCCTCAACCTCCTAAGTAGGTGGGATTACAGGCACACACCGCCATGCTGGGCTAATTTTTTTCTATTTTTAGTAGAGATGGGGTTTTAACATGTTGGTCAGGCTAGTCTCAAACTCCTGACCTCAGGTGATCCACCTACCTCGGCCTCCCAAAGTACTGGTATTACAGGCATGAACCACCATGCCCAGCCCTCACTGTGGTTTTGATTTGCATTTCTCTAATGATCAGTGATGTGGAAAATTTTTTCATATGTTTGTTGGCCACTTGTCTGTCTTCTTTTGAGATGTCTGCTCATGTCTTTTGCCCATTTTTCAATAAGGTTTTTTGTTTGTTAAGTTCCTTACAGATTCTGGATATTAGAACTTTGTTCTGGATATTAGAACTTTGTTGGATGCATAATTTGTGAATATTTCCTCCCATTTGGTAGGTTGTCTGTTTACTCTGGTGATAAGTTTCTTTTGCTGTGTATAGTAAGCTCTTTAGTTTAATTAGATCACACTTGTCGATTTTTGTTTTTGTTGCAATTGCTTTTGAGGACTTAGTCATAAGTTCTTTCCCAAGATCTATGTCCAGAACAGACATTATAAACTATTTTATAATAGTTGTTTCTATTTCTGTGAAAAATGACATTGGTAGTTTCACATGAATAGCATTGAATCTACAGATTGTTTTGGGCAGTATGGCCATTTTAATGATATTAACTCTTTAAATCCATGAGCATGAATTGTCATTTCCATTTATGTGACCTGTGATTTCTTTTTTTTTTTTTTGAGACAGAGTCTTGCTCTGTTGCCCAGGCTGGAGTGCAATGGTGTGATCTCAGCTTACTGCAACCTCCACCTCCCAAGTTCAAGCTATTCTTCTGCCTCAGCCTCCAGAGTAGCTGGGACTATAGGTGCGCACCACCACGCCTGGCTACTTTTTGTATTTTTTAAGTGCAGATGGGATTTCATCATGTTAGCCAGGCTGGTCTCAAACTCCTGACCTCAGGTGATCCTCCTGCCTTGGCCTCCCAAAGTGCTGGGATTACAGGTGTGAGCCACTGCATCTGGCCCTGTGATTTCTTACAGCAGAGTTTTGTAGCTCTCCTTGCAGAGACCTTTCACCTCCTTGGGTGTACTCCCAGGTATTTTATTCTTTTGTGGATATTGTAAATGGGATTGTATTCTTGAGTTGGCTCTAATTTTGAACATAATTATTGTATATAAATGCTACTGATTTTTGTACATTTAATCTTATATCCTGAAACTTTACTAAAGCAATTTTTCAGTTCCAGGAGCTTTTAGCAGAGTCTTTAGGGTTTTCTAGGTATAGAATCATATCATCTGCAAAGTGAGATAGTTTGCCTTTTTCTTTTCCTATCTGTATGTCTTTTCTTTCTCTCTCTTGCCTGACTGCTCTGGCTAGGATTTCCAGTATTATGTTGAACAGGAGTGGTGAGAGTGGGTATCTTTGTCTTGTTCTAGTTCTCAAGGGGAATGCTTCCAGTTTTTGCCTGTTCAGCATGTTGGCTGTGGGTGTCTCAGAGATGGTTCATTACTTTAATGTATGTTCCTTTGATGCCTCTAGTCTGTTGAGGGTTTTTTTTTTTTTAATCATTAAAGGATGTTATATTTTATCAAAGTTTTTCCATGTCTAAGGAGATAATCATATGGTTTTTGTTTTCAATTCTGTTTATGTGGTGAATCACATTTATTGATCTGTGTATGTTGAGCCAACCATGCATCACAGGAATGAAGCCTACTTCATCATGGTGAATTAGCTTTTTGATGTGGTATTGGATCTGGTTGCTAGTATTTTGTTGAGGATTTTTGCGTCTATGTTTATTAGGAATACTGGCCTGTAGTTTTCTTGTTTCCTTATGTTTTTGCCAGGTTTTGGTATCAAGGTGGTGCTGGTTTCATAGAATGTGTTAGGAGGGAGTCCCTCCTCCTCAACTTTTTGGAACACTTTCAGAATTCATAACAAGCCCTTCTTTGTATATCTGGAGAATTCAGCTGTGAATCCATCTGGTCCTGGGCTTTTTTTCAATTGGTAGATTTTTTTATTACTGTTTCAGTACTGAAACTGAATATTGGTCTGTTTGGGGTTTCAATTTCTTCCTGATTCAATCTTGGGAGGTTGTGTGTTCCAAGAATTTATCAATTTCTTCTAGATTTTCTAGTTTATGTGAGTAGAGCTGTTCACAGGAGTCTCTGAGAATCTTTTGTATGTCTTTGGGATCAGTTGTAATGGCACCTTTATAGTTTCTGATTATGTTTATTCTAAACTTATTTCTAAACAGGCCTGAAAGGAGGCAATATTAGCCCCAACTGCTAATACTGTTCAGTAAAAAGCATTTTATTATTTAATCAGTAGGTGCTTACTTTAAAAAGTAAATACTTGAGAAAAAAGTCTTTTTAAAATTATTCATATTTAAATTAAAAGTATTTAATTAGATAATCACTTTTCTCCACTCTTAATAGCTAATAAGTAGTTATTTTGATGGGGAATGTGAGGAAGAAGGATAAAATAAATTGGGAGTACTAAAATTTCCAGGAGTGGCCAGGCTGAGCTGGGCATCAGAGTGGGATTACTGTCACTTAAAGGGCATGGTGGGCACATTAACAGTTTGTTCTGGCACTTCACATGGCAGTAGCCATTCCCTTGACAGTTTGGTAAGGCTT